TGAGAGACCAAGGCAGGCTCTAATAAAACTAAAATGGTCATAGTGGAGAAAGCGGATATGTGTTTTTGGGAGGACTGTACCCAGAAGGTAGAGGGCTAGGTGCATCGTGAAAAAGAAGACACTGTCAGGGCCACAGATACCTAATCGACCATGTTCTTGACCTGCGTATGTGAGATCTGTACAGGGACTGCCTCCAATAACAAAAACATGACAGTAGTCGCTAAGGGTGACGAACTCCCTTAAGATTCTTGCTTTATCATCAAAGATGAGATCAACGTCATTTGCGTAGAAAAACATTCCTCCTTTGAGACTGTGTATCCACTGAGCATTTACAGAGATTCCATGTTTTTCAGCAACCAAATATCTGAGGATTTCATCTCTTTCACATAATAGACAAACTTTGGGGCGATAGCCAAACTTCTCAATAAGAATGTCCAAAGACGAGCCACACCCATCGAACATGCTTAGGACGGCATACGGTGGCTTAGAATCTGTGCTTTGCATAGGGTGGTCGATTGGAGAGTCAGGCGTGGAGGTGCTTTCTGCTTGCGAAAACTGCGATAAGGATGAGTTGGTTGTCTCCCTGAGCAAACCCTGTAAGGCTACCTGCCTCCATCAGCTGTGGCAGCTGATTCTTTTGTTACTTGCGGCCTGTTGATTGGTCGAGGCTGGCTAACATAGTCTCACATGAAGAGGCCAGGAGGCGAGGACAATCATACCTTCTCGGCCTTTTGGCTATGATCAAGTGTAGTATCTGTTCTTATCAGTGTGACAACTGATATGTCTCCAACTGGAGACTTGCTTGTCACATCAATTTTTGTTGGGGAAGTGTCTTCCTGAGCTTGCTTGGGGGCCTTCGCGTGTTGCGCTGGCATTCACGTAATGTTTTGAGATCCTTCATGTTCCGGGGTAGCAGTTACCACCTGCGAACGGTGAATCTGCTATGTTGGGCATTGTAGCATCGTTTTCATGTATGCACGCATTTGTTCACGCTTTCATTGCATTTGGACATGCTTTTTGGCACGCGTTCACCTTTCTTCACTTTGTTCAGCTTGCCTCAACTTTGTTTCTAGATTGCTTCACGTTCTTTCTAGCCCGCAGCCCTTTTTCCGGGATGGATGCACCGTTCAAAGTCAAACGCTATCGGGGCCCCAGACGGAGCTTGTTCGGCCGAAAGCAGTGTGTGAGACTCCTCCACACAATCGTGAGCTTGCACCTCACAGGATTGACAAGTTTCCCAATGCCAGTCCCATTCGACCGTCTTCGAATTTTTCGGCCGCTTCATCGCCACTCCCCGCCCCAGTGATTATGCCACGTAGAAGTCAGTCCTTTGAACATTTTGCACCTCTTCAAAAACCAGTTTTCCGCACGGAACATCGTAGTCAACCATATCCATCCAGTTGTTTGCCAGAGCCTTTGAATGATGCAGCTGGATTCACACCTGATGACCCCATCCCGGATTCGACGCATTCAGACTCACACTTCAAGGTCACTGGTTCGCGGCCTCAATTGCGATCACAGCAGAGTGTGGAGTCAAGACAACGCAAACTCGCTGAGCTTTTGTTTGATCAGGTCTGTCAATTGCGCATTACTTTTAGTACCTTGTTTGCCAACAACAATTCTCTTATCAGTAGACCTGATCTTATTCCGATTCTTATTCGTAAGTTTAGCCCAAGTACCATCAAAAGATACTGTATCTCTTTCTTGAACCTAGCTCAATGGCAAATTGATCTCGGACTAGAGTTGCAGCACTGCTCCATTGTTGAATTAGTTGATGTTCTTCGCTTGATGCACCTGGAGTGGTCTGATTCGGATCCGAACTTAGATTCCCTTCAGCAGTCGCCATTGATCAGTCTGAATACCCTCAAAGCTCTTAGATGGGTTTCGAACATCCTGCAATTGCAAATCGTTGATTTGTATTCACCCATCTTTAGCAGCCTTTTCTTTTCATCCAAAGAAACGCATGAGAGCTTCCCCTTGCCACTTTTTGTTGTTCACGATTTGGAGCTCTCAGTCATGGAAGGCCATCTTTCCCTCCAGGAACGAGTATTCCGAGGATCATTCCTTGTGTGCGTTTGGGCCTCGCTTCGATTCAACGAAAACTGATTTTGGATCATGTTTCACTGCGCGCAGCGTGCTTTCAAGCCAAGTCCAGTAAATCTGGCTATCCATTTGCAGTCCAATGCCTTGGGTTAATTTCTGAAAGACCCCAATCTAGTTGGGTTCTCAAGTGGCTTGAAGCTTTGAATGATGTCTGGGACGCATCAATTAGTAAATATGGACCTCACTTCATTCCTGACCATCTTTTCCCCCGCCTCGACGGCTCAGGTGCAGTCTTGGAACCCATGTCATATGCTCAGACCATCAATTGCCTTCGACGCTATGTCAGTCACTTTTCTAGCCTTAAAGATTGCGCTGTAGAGTATACTCTTCATTCAGCGAAAGCTACACTCCTGTCTTGGGCATGTCAATTGAACTTAGATCCTGCTAGCCGTGCATTGCAAGGTCATCGTAAGTCTTCATTGCAAAGCAGTGTAAATCTCTATGGTCGAGATTCAGTGCATTCCCCGCTTCAGCTTCAGTCTGACATCCGTACACAGATCATAATGCATGGATTTCGTCCATCCACGCCATTGCATCGGGGAGCTCAGACTCCAGTGATTGAACCAGCAGTCACTCTCATGTCTCAAACGCAGTTGTTTGATTTGTCATGTATGAATTTGCATTGCTTCAGAATTCTCTTGTCCCATACTTTTCCACCACCACCTGACTCGATCGAGATCGTAGACAGCCCCGTTGATCATCCTTCCAGCCATATACCATATCCCTGAACCAGAGCTTGAGGAATCTCCCCTGTTCATCACGAC